TTTCTTTCTTATGAGTTGAATACGATATTCTTTTAGTTTTCTTCCAGTCTGAGACTTGTATCATTTTTCTTACCGTAAATCACTGTTCTAATTTGAATATTAAAAAAATAAGTAGTACTACTGTTAAAATACATTAAACTCATGTTTTGACTATTTTTTTGTCTTTAACAGATTCTCTTTGCCAGTTGACATTTATATAGTGCTTACAGTTTAAATGCTTCTGTGAGGTAATACTAAGACCCAGATAATTTGTCCCAAGTTATACAAGGTTTCCTTACTTCTTAGTGTTTTTCCTCCTGTTCTATCATAGACAGTTTGTTTTTTATTTAAATTTCAACTCTAATTTGAATACTGATGCTAGCTGGTTAAAAATACCCACTATAACTTTCTCACTGTTTTTGGTATTATCTAACAGTCTCAACAAACTAGAATTCAAAATCATGATTTGAGATTTACAGTGTACATTTTTTGTTTTGTACTTGTAACTGATGACGGAGAACCTACTATTCATTGAACATACTGGACACTATTCTAAGAAACAATGGAGAATACATAATTCCTAACTTCAAATAATTTGCACATTAGTTGGGTAGATAAGTAGCAAGGTGACATATTCAGAAAGAATGGTAAGTGATTTGAGAGGGCAAATGCAAAGATATGATATGGTGGGAATGTGTTGGAGGGATATCTAACCCAGTTTTTTAATCAGGCAGGACTTACCACAGAAATTCACAGGAATCTGAACTAACATTGAAGGCATGGTAGTTAGGCTAACCAGGAAAATGTAGCAGTATAGAAGCCCAAGGAGAGAGAATGTACTTTCAAGAATTGGGGGATGGTAAATAGTGCTCAAATATTCAGAGAAAAGACTTAAAAAGTTAATTTGAAATGAAGTTATTTTAAGGAGTGGGATAGGATGTGAAACCAGACTGCGTGGGCCCAAGAGTCATTGACTTGAAGGTGGGAAAAGAAATGGAAGCAATAAATATATACTCTTTTTATAAGAAATAGCACTATGCAAGTGATAGAACAAGACAGCAAAAGGAACAGCATGGGCTGGCAAGTAAGTTAAAGCATTATGGAAACTGCTAAGTGTTCTGTAAAGTATCATGACAAAACTAGGATGTCTTTTCTCATAATTTTAAGACGAATATAGGAGGATAATCTTAACCTCTTCAGTTTTGTAAGTAAATATCACCTGAAATTCTTCATGAAGCTTTACTTTATTAATTGGATGAGTGAGTTCTTTACTTATATTGTATAACTCCCACATTTTACTTGTACTACTCTTTAAGCATTTGTACTTTTTATTTATATATATCTTAAGATCTTTATCCTTCCAGAAAGCAATTTCTGCTTTATGCAGTGTTACATGCACATTTTTTAAATGAGTGCTTTTGATAGCTTAGTTGACAGCACTGTGGAGTTTACTACCCTGAGTGGCTTCTTCTTTAAAAACAGTGTCCTGAGACATGGGAGCACATTGTAATTTCATAGATTCCACTCTCCACCACTCTCCTTCCTAACTGTGTTGTGGCTAATTCAGAAATTTTTTAACCTTGGCAACATTTACTCATTTTATAGTAATGTTTTAGGTTAAAGTAGTTGAGATGATAGCTGTACTGCCCCACCACTGTACTATGAAATGTAGCTTGGACTACAGTGTTTGTTTCTTTTTTGAGATGGAGTCTTGCTTTGTCACCCAGGCTGGAGTGCAGCAGCACGATCTCGGCTCACTGCAGCCTGTGCCTCCCAGCTTCAAGAACTTCTCTTGCCTCAGCCTCCCGAGTAGCTGGGATTACTGGCGCCCTCCACACAGCTGGCTAATTTTTGCATTTTTAGTAGAGAGAGCATTTCACCCTATTGTCCAGGCTGATCTCGAACTCCTGACCTCACGTGATCCATTCGCCTCAGCCTCCCAAAGTGCTGGGATTACAGACATGAGCCACCATGCTCAGCCAGTGTCCCATTTTTAAGAAGTAAATAATTTGTATTTTCTAAAAATAAAATACATGAAGTAGGTAAAGGCAGAGTTGAAATTCTGAGGAAGGGTGGTCCGTCCTCCCATCTCCCACCCCTGAAGCCCCTCTGTGGAATCTTGGTGGTTCTGGAAACACTACTTGAAAATATCTAGGTCCAACCATATCTTTCTTTTAATACATTTCATTTTACACTCAGGGGAACTGATCCCTAGGTCATTTGCTCAATTTTTTATAAACAATGGAGCTTCAGCTTTAGAGGTTATATGAACAACGTCTTATGGAAGAAAGATTATTCTTAATTTTCTTACTGCTATTTGGCATTAGTTGCTGTGTTATATAAAGTGATCCGGATAAATGAAACCTTTAAAAGTGTATTCTAGTTTTTTTAAGTCCATTGATTTCTTTTGTAGATAATATTTCATGTGTTTATCATATGTGTTTGTGATAAAAACAGGGATAAGTTTAGTGAATAGATAATATGATCCCGTGGGACAGCGGAAAGCCCACGGAACCATGTTGGTGAGCTCAGTGTTATGAAGGAATGAATATACCAGAGGAGGAAGAGGGAAAGGGAAGTGAGATAGACAGGAAGATATCTGTGATAATAATATGTTCCTCTGGAGCACAATGAATATGTATCTTTAGACCACAGATTTGTTTTTTTGATGTTTTTATTTTTTTGCTTTATCTTTAGACATGCATGTGTGATTTATTTTTCTAACTTGTTTAATCTTCTTATCATATTAGAAAAGTCATTTAAGAAGCTTTTAAAGAATACAAAGCTTTTATCTATGTACTGAAGTTGTAACAAGGGTGAGATATGCGCATCTCACACATGAGTGTGAGAACTCAATCATTACATTTATGAACTGGAGAATAATCTCTTACCTTTTTTTTTCTATCTTTGGGTAAGGATCCAAAGTCAAGACGACCTGGGCCCAATGGAGGCACTAGGCTGCCTTGGGACACCATCAGCACTTCCCCATCCACAACATTCTCAACAGCTGGGAGCATTGTGCAGACCCCAGGGGGCTTCCTGTTCCACAAGCTGCACTCTCTTCTTCCTCTTTACCCTTGCTGTTGGGCCTCCCCTCCAAATCTGCCTAACAAAGGCAGCAGGATCTTGATACTGTTCAGTATTAAGACAGGATACTCTAGAAAGTTGAGAGATTCCCTGGTCCAGTATGGGGGAGGAGAAAATATGCAATGTAGTATGGACGGTTTCACTTTCTTGTCCACTCAGACGCACTCTAATACTTATTAAATGGATGTATCAAAAGTCCTGACCTATAGTGGCACAAAAGTTCCTTGTACATAAGAAGTTGTGAAATGATAAAAATGTCTGCAGCAGTTAAGGCTCCTGATGACAAAGCTGGTTCTGATAAGTAGTTATTTTGACATGCACAGCAGATTCCCCTGTAAGTCCTGTGTTTGGAGGGTTTCATTTAGACCATAGCAAGCTGAAATCCAAGTTTAAAAGGCTCTCTGCTGACAAAATATGGTATATATATCAATGAATTTCTTCTACTAATGAAAGGAACAAACTACCAAAACATGTTACATGTTATGGACCAACCTCAAAAACATTAGCTAAGTAAAAAAGCCAGACAAGAGACCACATATTGTATAACTCCATTGATTTGAAATGTCCAAAAAAGGCAAATTTATAGACACAGAAATGGACTGATTTACCTTAAGAGGCAGGGATTCAAGCTCTCTAGACTACATGTGATACATATGTGAGAAAAAATAAAGGAAAATAATATACTCCCTGATTATAAAGAGAATCACATTCTTTTTGTAATAATTTGGAAGACAAAATAAAAACTTTAATTTTGCCATTCAAAACATTCTGGTTTTTGCTTTTTATACATTTTTATGCATATAAACATTTTAAAAAGTAGCATTGGCCAGGTGCGGTGGCTCATGCCCGTAATCCCAGCACTTTTTGGAAGGCCAAGGCAGACGGATTACAGGGTCAGGAGTTCAAGACCAACCTGGCCAAGATGTTGAAACCCCATCTCTACTAAAAATACAAAAATTAGCCAGGCACACTGGCAGACACCTGTAATCCCAGCTACTTGGGAGACTGAGGCAGGAGAATTGCTTGAACCCAGGAGGTGGAGGTTGCAGTGAGCCGAGATGGCACCACTGCACTCCAGCCTGTGCAACGGAGGCACTGTCTCAAAAAATAAATAAAAAATAAAAAGTAGAATCATATTTTGTCATGATGTTTAGGCATATTTCTATGGCAGTAAATATATACTTGGCATCATCGTTTTTAATAGTTAGATGTATATTAAGTTAATCATTGCCATCCCAGAAATAAATTTACTTATATATACATTTTATGGACTTGAGCAGGCATTTTTCGACTGAATTCACAGAAGTAGAACTTCTGGAGGAAAATAACATAAAATGGTTTTAGGGTTTTTAATAGAAATTTTCAAATGGTCCTGGAGGAAAATTGGTTCAGTTTCTGCTTCTACCAACAGGGACAGTGCTGCAGTTTCTTCATTCCATTTGTCCTCTTTGGTGGTTTTTTGTTTTGCTTTGTTTTTGTTGTTGTTTGTTTGTTTTTTAAGAATTCCTCTTTTTACTATACTGAAACGTGGACAGAAAGGGAGAGAATCTGTGAAATTAATGAGGTAAATGTCATACATTCAATAGCATAAATAAATACAGTTTTTCAGGAACATGAACATAAATTTAAGAGTTTTATTATCAAAGTCTTGTAAAACAATTTCAGAAACTGTACATCAAACATGGCACAGACTGTAGCCTACTTTTGTTTTTTCTGCACAAAAGTGAAGCTTGAAAATTCTGTGACTAAGAAAACAGTTGCCTAACTACTTTGTATATATAACATGAAATCACTGTGCATAAGATTACTACTGCAGTAACACAAATTTATTGGTTTTATACAACTTGAGATCAAATAAAAGGTACATTATCAAGTAGACTTGTCTTATTTTAAAAGCATATGAAGGTCAATTTAAAATGCACTACCCCTTTTTACCAACACTGAACTTAAATTACTGAAAATTCAAAATAAGGGCAAGAGATGTTTTTTTTACTTTCCCCTTTAAGATGGACCTAGGATAGGTAGATAACATTCACTCATGTAGATATGGAATAAATTATTAACTTCAGGAAAAAAAATTCCCAAACATCTTAAGAAAAAGTATACAACTCTACTTCAAAATATGCTGTTTACTCACTGCCAAAGACAGTTTTATTTGAAATCTTGTTTCTATATTTAAACCCTAATTAGACACCAAAAAAGGTTAGTGCATAATAACCTTTCAAACTTAAACAAAAGCCACAAAATTTTACCACAAAGCTTAAAGGATTATCTATTGCAAATGCTCATTTCCAGATGTAACTGTAAGAATGTTAATTTGTCATGTCAACAAACAACACCATAAGTAGATCCATCATGTTGAAGGATTTTAATGACATTTAGGATATTCTTGCCACAATAACATGCAATCAGTGCATTTCCTACATGGCTCTATTATGGCAATGAATCAAATTATAGAAATACTGTAAGTGAACTTACTTAATAAAGGAGATCATACGACATAAACAATCCATGCCTGCTGTAGACGCATGCAGCTTTTCATTTTTGTTATGAAGCAGCACCAGAATAGTAAAACTGCCTGGTTAATCAGATTTCACCATGACAAGAATTGGCTACCTTGTACCATTTTCTAAAAGCTTTTTGATGTGAATAACTAACATCAGTAACAGGAGCTTTATAACCATTTATAACTCAGAGGTGTATACATCTAGATTTGAGATGAACAAATACAGCATTAAGAAATTACATGAAGGAATGACACTGATGCAGGTATACAGTTGGATTCCCACAGAGGCAGTATTCAGTCACTCATATCCATGCCTTCATGATGATCATCCCCATTCACTTTGGATTCTCTTAGTGAATCGCCAGTTCCTTTTTCCACAGAACATTCCTTTGTTTTAGGGGAACCTGTTTCTGTTGGTTTTTTCTCTTTCTCACTGTCATACCCCTGTTCCTCTTCTTCATAATCCCGTGTAACCTGTTTTACATCTTTATCACTCTCTGATTTTCTTTCCTGGTCCTTTCCCTTATCTTTACTTTTCTTCTTCTTGCTTGTTGATTGTTCTCTTTCATCCCTACCTCTTTCTTTGTCTTTATCTTTCTTCTTCTCCTTTTTATGTCTCCTAGGGGATGGTGAGCGAGACAATTTTCTTTTAGGAGACTGAGGCTTTTTAGGAGATCTTGTTCCACTCCTGTCTCTGCATTGTCGTCTCTCTCTGCTTGAACGTCTGGAACATCTGACTGTGCTGTAACTTTTTGGTGGTGGTTTTGAACATTTCTTTTCTTTGTCTTCTTTCTTTTTGTCTCTCATTTTTGATGTGCTCCTTGACCTTCTACCTCTCTCTCTGGAATGAGATCTTCTCCGTCTTGGGCTTTTGGATCGTTGCCGACTCTTAGGCTTAGAATGTGATTGCCCTCTCGATCTGTTTCTTGACCACCTGTCTAGAAGAGGGAGTCCCCCTTCTCCTCCTAGAGCGTGATCTTGATCTTGAATGCCTTCTTTTTTCTTCTTTCTTATTTGGTTCTATAGCAGCAGAAATTAGGGACTGTGCTTCTCGTACTCTTTTCATAGCTTCCTCTATTTCTTCACTGGAGGTATCCGATTTCAGACTTGGTAAAACCAGACCAGCAGCTACATGATTCAACTTGGGATCAACAGTACTCATAAGCTTCAGCAACTGATCTGTGGCAAGAGACTGAGAGTTCAAGTTTGCTCCAGGACGCCCAGGTGCAGCAAGGGTGGGATCAAGAGTAAGAGCCCCCAAAACAGCCAGTGGAACAGCACCAATCTGGGTAAGTGGGTTAGGAGTAGGCAGAAGTCCACCATCGGGCGGAAGACCTGCCACTGCATTAGCTGGTGCCAACAGAGACAAAGCCTTAGCCTCATCAGGAATAACTCCTTCTGCATGTGGTACGACTGTCAAAGCTGTGTCAGTGAATACAGTGTTTGTCAGATGCTGTGCCACAGCTACTGAGTCTGGATCATGGAACTTAACAAAGCAGACACGAGATGAAACTGGCAAAGGTGAATCATCTGGTGGGAAGAGGCACAATTTGTCAGTCTTATCTAGGAAACCGAAGAGAGTCTGCAACTCAGAACTAGCGCTCGGGGAGACATTAGTCACCTGGATTACCTCGGTGCCGCTGCCTCTGCCACCACCACCTCTGCCACTAGGTCTGCCGCTGGGGCATGGACCCACAGTGCTAGGGATGATGGTAGTGTTGCTTATGGCGCTGCTCGGGCTCTCGCTCCTGCTTTAACTCATCAAACACAAAACAGACAGTGAGAAGAAGGGGGAAGAGGAACCGGTTTGCGGGAGAAGAGGGTGTCCAATGCTACAGCCTCTGCTACTACTACTGCTGCCACTGTAGCTGCTGCCGCTGTTTCTCCTCCCCCCGCCACACGCCGCGGGGGAGGGGAAGAGACTTTGCTGGTCTTTAAGCAGAAAATCTGATTGTTTTCATGAAATTTCTTTGGTTTCTAGTGCTTTTGAATCTTTTTCATATGCTTATTGGCCATTTTTATTCTTGTGGGAAGTGCCTGTTTCTCCATTGCCTATTTTCTGGCCAAGTCATATTTCACTTAATTTTTGTCTTGCTGATTGAAAGTATTTGAACTTAGTGATTTTCATGTAAACAGGAGCAGGGAAAACTGTAATTATGTAAGTCTCACTCTGTCACCCAGGCTGGAGTACAGTGGCATGATCATAGCTACCACAAGCTCGAACTCGGGCTCAAGCAATTTTCCCACCTCAGCCTCGCAAGTAGCTAGGACTACAGGTGTGCACCACCACACTCAGCTAATTTTAAAATTTTTGTAGAGATGTGAATTTGCTGTGCTGCCCAGGCTGGTCTTGAATCCCTGACTTCAAATAATCCTACCACCATGGCTTGCCAAAGTGCTGGGATTGCAGGCGTGAACTACTGCTCCTGGTTGAGAGCTCACTTTTGTTTGCTATTGGTGTTCTTGGTATCTTTTCGTATTTGAGAGTTTGGTGCTAGTGCTGAAGTATTATACTCACCATGGGAGGTTTACGGGACTTTTGTTTTCATATTGAGCAGATGGAACTGTTCAGTTCTGCATTATTGCAGGTATACAAAATATGCCTACCAGGACTCTGCTTTATATTCATTGGAAGCAAGAAGTAATACAGTTAAACTTTTTCAGACTAGAGGCTTTGAAAGAATGAAGTGTTCTGGTTTAATTCTATTTTCTGAGAAGTACAAAGGTGAAAAGAACTCAAAACTTAAATTTCCTGTTGAATGCAATTTAAAAATATTAGCCAATGATTCCACTTTTCTTCTCTAGAAAGTTTGGACATTCTGGTCTACTTGGTGTTTTATCATAGCACTCCTAGTGTGCCTGAGAGTTTTATTGTGCAGATACTTTTTTAAAACTTTTTAAAATCAGTTCTCTGAGAACTGATATTGTAAATACACTTTTTAGACTAAATCTCTGATTGCCACTTGTTTTCTTATTGAACTCATAAAAATGAAACACATTGGATGGAGGATGGGAGTAGGAAGGAGATTTATGTTTTAATTGCATGTCATTGTTTCATATCAAGACAGAACATAGAATACCCTTGCCTTTGGACCTATAGAAGGAAACACATTTTTCTACCTTCTGTGTGCCAGAGGTTCTTGAACACCTGGAGGGATGACTGCAGCACAGATTGCTGAGCCCTACTCCAGAGTTTCTGATTCACCAGGTCCGGGGTGGGGCTTGAAAATTTGTATTTATAAAAAATTACTGGGTGCTGCTGGTTCTGCTAGTCCAGAGACTACATTTTTGAGAACCACTCTTGACTACTAACTAAATTACAGAACTGTAGAATAAAGCTTAGATTGGTCTGGGATAAGCACAGAGGTTTTGGAGGAAATCATAAGAGATTCAACCATTGATCCCAGCCTAGTGTGGAATTCAGGTAACAAGCAATACAGTGACCTAACACATTTCTTGGTTTTCATGATCGCAAGTCATAGCCATGTATCAAGTGAGAAATTCAGTTTTATATGCAAGGCTTAGAGAGGCCAGGTGATTCTAGAAAACTAGGCCTTGTATTTGTTTCAAACTAGTAAAGAGCTTTGAGTGCTTATTAAATTGAAAGCTTGTTCTTTTTATTTACTTTGTACTTTATTTTATTTTATTTCTTCTGAGATGGAGTCTTGCTCTGTCACCCAGGGTAGAGTTCAGTGGCGTGATCTTGACTAACTGCAACCTCTGCCTTTTGGGTTAAAATGATTCTCCTGCCTCAGCCTCCTGAGTAACTGGCATTACAGGCACTCACCACCACGCCTGGCTAGTTTTTGTATTTTTAGTAGAGATGGCATTTCACCATGTTGGCCAGGCTGGTCTCGAACTCCTGACCTCAGGTGATCCACGTGCCTTGGCCTCCCAAAGTGCTGGGATTATGGCGTGTGTCACTGCACCTGGCCCAAAAGCTTTGTGTTTTTAAAGATATTAGACATAATTCTTGTTTAAAAAAAAAATCTTAATATAGACAAATGTTTTTCAAAAAAAAAAAAACCAAAAAACTTTGTGATTATTTTATCTTCTTGGAATGTTGAGTAATACAGTCTGCTTCATTAATCATCAAGCATGATATGACTTTTTCATTTTTATAGGATTAGTATGTCAGTTGAGGTAATACTGGTAATTGTTGTACTCCATTTGAAGATGAAAAATATAGACCAAAGTCATAAACCTTGCATAGATTTGCACACCACTGCACTCCAGCCTGGGCAAAAGAGTGACACTCCATCTCAATAGAAAATAAAATACCAACTAAATAAAAAGCTTTTTTTTTTTCTTTGTTCTTGAAGCATACACATAATTTTTAAAGTTTATTTTTTTAAGTTTTAAAGCTTTTAAGGCAAAAGCTGGCCCCTGCCCTCTCCTGAAGTGGGTGGGGAAAGCGGTTGCATGGGCAGCATTCCTTGTGATGCAACAGGTCCCTTTGGACATGCTGCTGCCTGGCCATGCCTCGTTTTTCTTTCATCTTTCTCATTCCCCAATGGGCTTGAAGCATTAAGGCCACACCCCTGTTCTGCATTCTAGTGGGGCCCTGGTTACGTCTCCTCTGGCCCAGTCACACAGCTGCCTGGTAGGTGACTGGAGGCATTTAGTAGGCCTCACTGGCATTTCACTGATGTGGCTGCAACCCCACCTCCCTCGCCACCCCATGACATCTTATGTCAGAAGAAGCTTGAAAGAGCAAATTGGCCGCAGCAAGGAAAAAGGTAAAACACACCAGGTGATGGCCCCCCAACCCAGTCACAGATCCCCTTTTGACGGCAAGACCACTCTCAGAGTCCATACCACTTCCGAGGCACACTAGACTGGGCACCCCCAATCCCAGTGCCTCTGGGATCCCCCCACCAAACTCTTGTCAGTCGCCCCACCCCTTCAGCAAGCAACTTAGCCCCTGCCCTTGCCATTCACCCCAGGATGACTTTGGGAGGGTGCCTCAGGCTCCTCACTCCATACTCGGCCCTCACTTCCTGCCTCCCCAAGCCTGACCTCCCTGGGCTCTTTGGGCTTACGTCTCCAAAGACCTGGGTGCCCTAGCTCCCACCCTTGCTAGTTGTCCCTGGGTGACTTTGGGCTGGTGGCTCCTGGGGCTCCCTGCTGCAGACTGTCCTCCCCTCCTGCCCCAAGCTCAACCTCCCTGGGATCTTGGGGCTGGCATCTCCAAGGACCTGGGTCCCAGCCCTGTGTCCCCCTCCCCCATCATGAAGCAGTGACTCAGGCATCACACTGACGTCCCCTCCCCCAGGAGGAGTGGAATGTAGTGATGTCACAGTCCCACTAAGAACTGTCATTACTGTGGCAAGACCAGCCTTTGATGAGCCTTCTCACCACATTTCTGGTTCCTCTGGTCGCAGAACAAATTTCCAGCTGGAAGGGCAATGGGGACTATGGGATCTAGGAGCAAGAGGTTTGAGGCTACCTTACCCGCTTACTATAGACAGCGACAATGTGAAAAGCTTACACTTCCCCCTTGAGCACAAAACGTTGACCTTGTCTCTAAGTGGCAATGGGAGAACGTGTTTGGTTTGATTTTCTCCCAGGCTTCTACTCACCAGAGAGATTTTAATGTTTCTTTCTCCATGGTTCTGGGACCAGACTGCCCTTCAGTCAGTGGCCTCTGGAATGAGATCTGCTCATCATCTGTGGAACCGATCTTGGGAAACTGAACATGACAGTGTGAATCTTCCTCATATCATCTCATCCTGGGGTACTATGAGTGCCACAGGATAAATGTGAAACATCTTTCTGAAGCATCAGTTTCCCTTGATTCTCTTGAGAGAGAAAAAATACTAATGTACTTAGGGATGACAGTCACATAGGTTTCTAAGAGTATAGGCTTGAAATGAGGCTTGGGTTGACCTCTTTCTGATGAATTCCCAGATTTAACAGAAAGGCTGCCTTCTGTCCTGAGGACGCATTGATATAAAAGTATGAGAGGTACTGTGCCCTTCTTAACACTAACGGATGTGTGAAGGTGTATGACTAAACCCCACAGTGTACAGTTCCTGCCTACCTAATGTTGACTTTTCTACCTCTGCCTCTGGTTTTGGTCTCTGGCAGCTCTGGATTTGTGGCAAAACCCCAGAGCTTGGAGTCAGAAGACTGAGTTTAAGTTCCAGTATTGCCTTTTTCTTTTTCTTTTTTTTTAAAGCCATAATATCAATTCTTCTGTCATTAAGTTATTGTGACAACACCTTGTAGAATTGTTGGTGGCATTAAATCAGATGATGTATAATAATACTTTGTAAAAACTGTAAAGTAGGTTGTGACTGTAGGGGGTTTGTAGTTCTCATGGGTATTACTGCTCTTCTTTCCTACAGTTAAAAAAATTTCAACAAAGGAACAGCCCTGTTGTTCCAGCAGGAGTGAGGAGGAAAAAGAAAAGAAACAACAGTAGCCCTGAGACAGCCACTTCTGATGGTTGCCAGTCACCTGGGGCTGTGAGCATTGGCTGGCCAGGCTTCTGGGGAAAAGAGGCCCAAGGGGAAGTAGAGGGTAATTGTTAAGATTGTGTAAAAACTGCTGGTTACTAGTAAGAATTCTGGGTTTGAATCCTGTCTCTCCGTTTGCTAGGGATGTGATTTAGGGAAAGTTACTTGAGCTGCTTGGACCTCTCCTTTCACATGTGTAAAATAGAGGTGGTATTGTTTGACTTCTATTTGTGAAGGTTAAGTGAAATTTTTTTATTGTTTTTATGTTAATCCCATGCACATGGCCTACTGT